ACACACACACACACACACACACACACACACACACACACACACACACACTCGCTCACTCACTCACTGAGCAGTGTGTGTGCGCTCCTCACATGGAATATCTTTATCCAGAACATCTTAAGGCTGGATTTACACATAAAAGAGGGAGGAATGAGGTGGGGTGAAGAGAGAGATGCTGGTTTCAGGGGAGAAAAATCATCACTATACAAATGATGATGATGATGATGATGATTAACTGCATCAGATTAACAGTTTTCCTCATAAGTTCAGACTCCATTCTTGGTCAACAGGAACAAGAAGCTCTGTGAGCTCAGCCCGTCGTTTCTTTAGTCGTATCTTTCGTTGTCCTTGATCAAACGTTCAGCTCACTCAGGGTGGGTGAGGAGTGTCATTGCACGGCTATTTTTAGATCTCCCCAGAGATGCTCGACTTAGTTCTGGTCCAGACTCTGACTGGGTCATTCAGACATATTTTTTCTGCAACCAGAAGCCTTTACTGCCTGGATGCTGTGAGGTTTGCTCAGTGGTTACCTGTTGAACCAAAGCTCTTTCAGTTTGGTCAGATCATGGTCTTCTGTTTAGAAAATTAAAATGTTTTTGTCTTAGAGCAAGGAAGACTGAACTGCTGCAATAGTGGTTGGTTTCAGTGCAGCGGAAAGTTTATAATTGGTCTGAAAATTTCATGGATCGATCCCTCAGAACTGATTTCTTACAATCTTTGATTTGTATCCAGGTGTGTGAATTAGTCAGAGGGATGTCGCATTAAAGAAAGATCTGCTAGAACTAAGGTGATCCATGTGTGTGCCAATGAAGAACAAATCCTGTCAACAGGATATTTTAGTCTTGGTACCGTTACCATTAATGAAGGAAGGGGATCTACAGCAGGTAAAATAAGTATTGAACACGTCACCATTTTTCTCAGTAAATATATTACTAGAGGTGCTAATGACATGAAATTTTCACCAGATGTTGGTAACAACCCAAGTGATCCATACATACAAAGAAATCAAACCATAAATGTCCAGAAATGAAGTTATTTGTAATAACCTAACCTGTATGTATGGATCACTTGGGTTGTTACCAACATCTGGTGAAAATTTCATGTCATTAGCACCTCTAGTAATATATTTACTGAGAAAAATGCTGACGTGTTCAATACTTATTTTACCTGCTGTATCTTCCTTCTAGTTATTTGATTACTAGAATTACTCTGTTTTTACAACAAATTAATTCTTTAGTGCAAAACTGAACAAGTGGTCTTTCTTGGAAGTTTATTAAAATTCTTCCAGATTTCAGAACTATTGAAGCCTAATCTTATCTTCACTTATGAATTCTGCTCAGCTGAATTTAATAAAACAGGATGAGAAGAACAAATGAAGAACCATCATGCATAAGAAAAAAACTTTTATTCCTCATTTTTTCTGTCTGAAATCATCACTGCTTGAGTCTGTCATGACTGTTTTCTTGTCATTTTTGTGATCACATGACCACATGTAATTTTTTCTGCACAGTATCTTATTTTCATTTTTGTTATTTCAATTGTATTGCCTTGTACAGTATTTTCATTTTAGTTTATTAATTTTTAATATTATTATTTTAATTCTATTATTTATCCTGGTAAAAAAACAGACCCTTGTCCTTTGCTTTGCTTCGTGCGAGGGTCTGGACTCTTGGCTTCTTGAAGGAGGCCTCTGAAGTTTAAAATGACTGCATCTGTTGGCCGTGTATGTGTGCCAGCTCCACTGAAGGAGGCTAAGCTAAGAAGCTAACAGAAATCATGTGCTGTAAACAACCCTACTGAGAGGAGAAATACACCGAGCTGAACCAGACGACTGTAAATGAGAGCTGCTGCTTTGTCAGATAATTTATTTTAATTTGAAGTCTTATCAACACAGACTGGCTTCATTCACTTCCTCCACTGCTGTATGATAAAATAACTAGCAGACACTGAGCAGAAAATCAATGTCATTCAAAACTCAGCCTTCTGTTTGCTGATTGGCCCAGGTAAAATAAACTACAAGACACTGCACAGAAAATCGACGTTCTGTTCTCTGATTGGCCGAATGAAATGTTCCTGAAGAAATCCTTGTCTATGGGATAAATCTCAGACGGAGCAGTGAAGCGAAACTCCCTGCTGCTGTTAGACCTGAATTTTCCCTCTGTGGGACAATAAAGACTGTTTCTACTCTATTCTATAGTCCTAATAACCTTTTAATTTGTGTTGTCTTCTTTGTTTCAGCTTGGCTTCCTCCGGTTCAGGATGACTTCCTGTGTCTTGTCCCTGCTCTTCTTCTCATTGCTGGTGTTCATCATGGCTGCTGCTGAGCCTGCTGGCTGTAAAATCCGGATCACAGACAAAGGGCTGGAGATGTGTAAGTATGCAGATACTTAACCCCAAGTCAAACTAAAAGGTCTATTTAAAGGCAAAACTGGGTTTGAACCTGACTTGTGTTTGAGTTGTTTTGTTAAGCTTCATCATACCATAATGTCTGCTAGATCCCACCCCAACCAGACTGTTCAATGAGCCATTTCCCCTAATTAAGATAAGATAAATCTTTGTCTTTGTTGCACTGAAAAGAACACTGTGGTCCACAGACAATGAACAACAAAATAATTTTGCATCTCCTTGTAGTGCAAATAAATCAGAACATTAGAAAAGATAAAATAAGAAGAAAAACAGAATTAAAAAGTAAGATAGAAAAATGTAAAAAACAACAGTAGCAAATAAATCAGAACATCCCTCCGTCAGTCCGTTTTCTTCCTCTTATCCAGGGTCAGGTCTCAGGGGCAGCAGCCTCAGCAGAGACCCAGACTTCCCTCTCTCCAGACACTTGGACCAGCTCCTCTGGGGGAATCCCAAGGTGTTCCCAGACCAGCTGAGAAACATAGTCCCTCCAGCGTGTCCTGGGTCTTCCTCTGGGTCTCCTCCCAGTGGGACGTGTCCAGAACACCTCACCAGGGAGGAGTCCAGGAGGCATCCTAACCAGATGTACCACCTCAACTGGCTCCTCTGGACGTGGAGGAGCAGCGGCTCTACTCTGAGTCCCTCCTGGATGACTGAGCTTCTCAGCCTATCTCTAAGGGAGAGCCCAGACACCCTGCAGAGGAAACTCATTTCAGCTGCTTGGATCTGTGATCTCCTTCTTTCAGTCACTACCCAAAGCTCCTGACCATAGATGAGGGTAGGAACGTAGACCCACTGGTAAACCTTCACCACGACAGACCGGTACAACGCCCACATCACTGCAGACACAGCACCAATCCACCTGTAGATCTCCCTCTCCATTCTTCCCTCATTCTTGAACAAGACCTGAGATACTTAAACTCCTACTTTGGGCAGGACCTCCTCCCTGACCCGGAGGAGGCACCCTACCCTTTTCTGGCTCAAGACCATGGTCTGGGATTTGGAGGCACTGATCCTCATCCCATCTGTGAACCGCTCCAGTGAGAGCTGGAGATCAGGATCTGATGAAGCCAATAGGACCACATCATCCACAAAAAGCAGAGATGTGATCCTAAGGTCACCAAAAAGGATCCCCTCAACACCTTGGCTGCTCCTAGAAATTCTGTCCAGAAAAGTTATGAACAGAATCGGTGACAAAGGACAACCTTGGTGGAGTCCAACTCTCACCTGAAACAAGTCTGACTTACTACCAGCAATGTGGACCAAGCTCTGGCACCGGTCCTACAGGGATCTAACAGCCCATATCAACGGGCCTGGTACCCCATACCTCCCGGAGTACCCCCCACAGGAGTCCCCGAGGGACATGGGTGAATGCCTTCTCCAAGTCCACAAAGCACATTTAGACTGGTTGAACTCCCATGCACCCTCCAGGACCCTGCTGAGGGTGTAGAGCTGGTCCAGTGTTCCACGACCAGGACCAAAACCACACTGCTCTTCCTGAATCTGAGATTTGACTATCTGATGGACCCTTCTCTCCGGGACCCCTGAATAGACCTTACATGGGAGGCTCAGAAGTGTGATTCCCCTATAGTTGGAACACACTCTGTGGTCCCCCAATTTAAAAAGGGGGACCACCACGCCAGTCTGCCAATCCAGGGGAACTGCCCCTGATGTCCATGCGATGTTGTAGAGTCGTATCAACCAACACAACCCCACAACATCCAGAGCCTTAAGGAACTTCAGGTGAATCTCATCCACCCCCGGTGCCCTGCCACAGAGGAGCTTTTTAACCACCTCAGTGACCTCAGCACCAGAGACTAGAGAGTCCGACCCAGGATCTTCAGGCTCTGCTTCCTCATGGGAAGATGTGTCTGTAGGATTGAGGAGGTCTTTGAAGTATTCTGCCCACTGACCCACAACGTCCCGAGTTGAGGTCAGCAGCGCACCATCCCCACCATAAATAGTGTTGGTGGTGAACCGCCACCCCCCCTCAGATGCCGGATGGTGGACCAGAATCACCTCAAAGCCGTACGGAAGGTTTTTCCATGGCCTCTCTGAACTCCTCCCATGGCTGTTTTTTTTGCCTCAGCAACCACCCGAGCCACAATCTGCTTGGACTGCCGATACCTATCAGCTGCTTTCAGAGTCCCACAGGCCAAAAAGACCTGATAGGAGCCCTTCTTCAGCCTGACAGCATCCCTCACTGCTGATGTCCACCAGCGGGTTTGAGGGTTGCCACCACAACAGGCACCGACAACCTTACGGCCACAGCTCAGGTAAGCTGCCTCGACAATGGAGGCACGGAACATGGCCCACTGAGACTCGATGTCCCCCACCTCCCCTGAAATGTGTTCGAAGTTCTCCTGGAGGTGTGAGTTGAAGCGCCGTCTGATGGGAGACTCTGACAGACGTTCCCAGCAGACCCTCACTATACATTTGGGTCTGTCAGGTCTGACCGGCATCCTCTCCTACCAACGGAGCCAACTCACCACCAGGTAGTGGTCAGTTGACAGCTCCACCCCTCTCTTCACCCGAGTGTCCAAAACATGCGGCCGAAGGCCAGATGAAACAACAACAAAGTCAATCATCGAACTGCGGCCTAGGGTGTCCTGGTGCCAAGAGCACATATGGACACCCTTATGTATGAACATGGTGTTCGTTATGGACAATCCATGATGAGCACAGAAGTCCAATAACAAAACATCGTTCGGGTTCAGATCAGGGGGGGCCGTTCCTCCCAACCACGACTCTCCAGGTCTCACTGTCATTGCCCACATGAGTGTTGAAGTCCACCAGCAGAACGAGGGAGTCCCCGTTAGGAGCACTCTCCAGCACCCCCTCCAAGGACTCCAGAAAGGTTGGGTAATCTGAACTGCTGTTAGGCTCATAGGCACAAACAACAGTCAGGACCCGTCCCCCCATGCGTAGGTGGAGGGAGGCTACCCTCTCGTTCACCAGGGTGAACCCCAACCTACAGGCACCGAAGGGTGGCATTAAGCATTCCCACTCCTGCTCGGCGCCTCTCAGCATGGGCAACTCCAGAGTGGAAGAGTGTCCAACCCCTCTGGAGGAGACTGGTTCCAGAGCCAGAGCGGTGAGTCGAGGTGAGTCCAAATATATCTAGTCTGAACCTCTCAACCTCACACACCACCTCAGGCTCCTTCCCCACCAGAGAGGTGGCATTCCACATCCCTAAAGCCAGCTTCTGTAGCCGAGGATCAGACCACCAAGGTCCTCGCCTTCGACCACTGCACAGCATACATTGCACCCGACCCCTACGGCCCCTCCCACAGATGGTGAGCCCATGGGAAGGGGGACCCGCGTCTCCTCTTTAGTCTGTACCCAACCGGGCTCCATGGGTGAAAGCCCAGTCACCAGGCGCTCACCAACGGGCCCACCTCCAGGCCTGGCTCTAGAGTGGGGCCTCGGTGATACGCTTCCAGGCGAGGGAACACTCAATCCATCCATCATATTCTTCATAGGGGTCTTTAATCAGAACGTTAAAAAGATAAAATAAAATGAGATAAAAAATAATAAAGTAAGATATAATAAAAAATAATATAATAATAAACTCCTCATGTTGGATAAGTAAGTAAAGTTTTATATAGCACCTTTCATAGAAATATAATCAGCTTTATTTGTATCTGATGAATGGTTATGTGCCACAGAGATTTAAGGTTGCTGTAATTCAACCTTGATTTAAGGAACCTGATCTAGGTTCAGGAGTTCTGGCCAACTATAGACCTGCTGTGGCAGAGTGGTTAGGGGAGTCCTCCTGTAACTGGAAGATCGCCGGTTCGATCCCCCGTTCCAGCTGTCTCAGTCGTTGTGTCCTTGGGCAAGATACTTCAACCGCCTTGCCTACTGATGGTAGTCAGTGGGTCAGGTGGCGCCGGTTCATGGCAGCCCCGCCTCTGTCAGTGTGCCCCAGGGCAGCTGTGGCTACAGTGTAGCTTAGCGCCATCGATGTGAGAATACATGAATGTAAGTGTAAAGCACTTTGGGGTCCGGAGGGGCTGGGTAAACCACTATGTAAGTTCAGTCCATTTACACTCTATATACCAAGATGTATCAGGACATGGTAACATTATTCTTCACTGGTCCAAGTAACCAATGTGTTTATAATATACGGTGTTACTGGACACGTGTGTGTGTGTGTGTGTGTGTGTGTGTGTTTTGTGTCTGTAGTGAGGTTGGAGACTCAGAAGTTTGTTGAAGAAGAGCTCAGTAACATCAATATTCCAGAGATGAAGGGCACAGAAGGACGTTTCCAGTACACCATCACTGAGTATGTTATTATTCTGAAAGGAATACAGGTCATATGATGTACATTTTAATAATCTGCTGTTCTCTTTTTCATTAGTGTGAAGATAAAAGAGCTGAATCTAACTCACGCTGACCTGCAGTTCATCCCTGATGTTGGCTTATTGTTCGATGTTCAGAACTCTTCTATCTCCCTGAGTTTCTACCGACAGATCCTCTACTGGTTCTTGTTAGTGCTGCTGCACAACACAAATTAAGTATTAAATGGAGAAATATCATGGTACAATTACTTTTTAAAAATGGTAGTGTTAGATATTTCTTCCAAAAGACATCATTAGAGGTATTCGTCAGAAGAAAATAAAGCTGGTCCATTAGTTCTCTTGTTTAGTCTCCCCAAAACAAACTTCCAAGGTTAAAGGTCAAATGAGCTGTAAGCTTGTTTGACCTTAAATCATTGACTTCATATGGTCCAAATCAGACATTAAAAAACATGCCATCATGTCCTAAAGGATTAACTCTTCATTTTTCAATCAAATAAAACTGATTTATTTTATGGGGTGCCATTTGTAAAGTTACACAGTCAAAAATTACCTCCAATATTGTTTTATTTAGACTTTTAAAAGAAAAAGAAAAAAATCCACGAGTTTATTTTTCAAAGTCAGTTTTTCATCATGTGATTGTAATGAATGGGGGATTGAGTTTCACTGAGCCAAACACCAAAGCAGTTTTAACAAGTTTATTGAAATAGTGAATGCTGGTTCTGGAGTTACAGGACAC